TAGTCAAGCTCTTGTGAGAAACATGTATCATGAAGGGGAGCCAATTTCATATGAGGAAGATGCTACCAATCCTGCCTGGCAGGAAGCAATGACTCAGGAGTTTGATGCTTTACACAACAATCACACATAGGACCTAGTATGTTTGACCCTGCAAAGAAAGCTATAGGCTGCAAATGGGTATACAAAATAAAGCACAAGGCAGATAGAAGTGTTGAAAGGTTCAAAGCAAGGCTAGTTGTGAAAGAATACACACATCAAGCCGGAATTGCCTACACAGAAATATTCTCCCCTGTTGTAAAGATGACCACAGTCAGATCTTTGATTGCAATTGTAGTTAAGAAAGGATGGTTCTTATACCAACTTGATGTCAACAATGCATTCCTTCATGGTAACCTTCATGAAGAAGTATACATGGAGATCCCACCAGGATTGCAGGTCACTAAGCCAGGACTGGTCTGCAAGTTAAACAAGTCCTTATATGGCCTCAAACAGGCAAGCATGCAGTGGTATGCCAGGCTGAGTGAAGCATTGTGCTCCAGAGGTTATACACATTCTATGCTTGATTATTCACTATTTTATAAGAAAGAAGGCACTAATACAATTTATGTGGCAGTTTATGTAGATGACATAGTTGTCACAGGCACTGATGTAGTAGAATTGGAGAGACTGAAGAGTTTTCTTCATGCCAGTTTCAATATTAAGGACATTGGTAAGCTGCACTACTTCCTGGGAATGGAAGTATTTTATAAGGCAGATGGTGTGGTAATATCACAGAGAAAATTTTCACTAGACCTATTGAAGGAGTATGATTGTTTATCTCAGAATGGTTTCTCTTCTCCATAGGATCCTACTGTCAATTTGAAAGCCAAGGAGGGTGCCACATTACAAGACCCTACTTACTACAGAAAGCTGGTGGGGAAGCTCAATTTCTTAACCAATATCAGACTAGACATTGCTTATGGAGTTCAACACCTAAGTCAATTCATGCAGGACCCCAGAGAACCTCACCTTAAGGCAGCCTTTCACTTGCTTAGATTTCTGAGAACTGGTCCAACATTGGGGATATTTTTTTCAAAAGATGAGGACTACACTGTGAGAGCCTATTGTGATTCTGATTGAGCATCATGTACAGACTCTGGAAAGTTTGTTAGTGGTTACATTGTCTTACTGGGCCACAGTCCTGTTAGCTAGAAGTCCAAGAAATAAGAAACTATTTCATTATCATCTGCAGAGGAAGAGTACATGCCACTTAGGAAAGTTGTATGAGAGTTGGTTTGGTTGAGCAGACTATTTGGAGAGTTGACTGTTCCTTTTCCTCAACCAATTGATGTCTACTGTGACAGTCAATCTGCACTCCATATAGCTAGGAACCCTTTTTTTCATGAACAAACCAAACACATTGAGATTGATTGTCACTTTGTGCCTGATAAACTTCAAGAAGGACTCATTTCCTTGCACCATATCACTACTAGTGCTCAATTGGCAGACATCCTGACCAAGGCCTTGACAGGCATCAAACATTCTGCCATATTGAACAAGTTGGTTGTGCTTCCCTCGCTTCCAACCCAACTTGAGAGGGGTGTTAAGATACATATTATTAATTATTAGTTATTAATTGGTAGTTTGTTAAGTTTGTTAGTTGCCAGCTGTATGGTAGTTATATGCCAGATGTATGGTAGTTAGTGGTAGATGTAGTAGTTGTATTACTTTCCTTATTAGTTTGTATATGACTCTCTAATTAAAGATAATAGATTTAGATTCGTTTTTCCCATTCTCTCTTCTCCCTCACACGACTTCCACTTCCAGAAGCTTCCATTGAATCTCTAGGAGCTTAGCTCAAGCTCATTCCCAAATGGCTATCCAAAATTGATAATAGCCGTAAAGAAGAAGTGAATACAGCCTATTTCTAACCCTTTGTTGACATATATAAAACAAAATTGAATACCAGATGGGGACATCACGAGGGGGAAGAGGAAATTTCTGGCCAACTTTACCACATTGAGGATGTTCTTGTATCTATAGTAATGCCTATGTGATCTTTTATTGCTAATATTGATTAAAATTTATATTTTACAGGACAAAGGAAATTCTGCCCCCTCTTCAGCGGGCCGCTTTCTCGAGTGAGAGTTCTTTTTTTGGGGTTAGTCTGACTGTCGTTATTCTAGTTGGTAGGTGTGCGAGTAAGAGGGTAGTCGGCGATTATATGACTTGAATGGGACTTCAGCTTCTTCTTTTCATTTTGTTCAACGTGTAAAGTTCTTGTAGGCAGATTAACTTACCTCCCCCGTTGTTGTTTGAGATAAAACTTTTGTATATAAGCCCTTCTACACCCTAACAACTCAATTTAGATGGTGCATTTACTAGAACTGAAATTGTTGAGTGTAAGGGACCTTACAAGTTTCATATTTCTAGAACTGAAATTGTACGTATTCAATGAATTTCTTCAAACAAATATAAGGTTTGAACTAGAGCTAGTACATCAAAATGGAACGTATAACCATGCATGTGATCGAGTCAACCAATCTTCTTTCAATAACCAATTTTAGCAGCCAATAGAAGGAGTTTCAAAAAATATTTCGAGCCATGTTCATTATAATACTACACCATATTGGGGATTTCTTTATTATAGATCCATGTTACAACATCAGTCACTTACAACAGCCTATTTTTAGCTTCTTCTTTTATTGTTAAAAGAAATTACATACTAAATAGTAGGAGTGGTAAATGGGCGGGTCGGATCGGATATAGTTCGAGTCGAAAACGAGTAATGAAAAAATAGGCAATTATCCGACCCGGCCCATATTTAATACGGATAAAGAACGGGTTAACCGGCGGATAATATGGGTAACCATATTATCCATTACTTCTTGCATATGATCACTTTTAGGAGAATTCTTTGTCTCCCTAACTTGAGGAACCCCCAGTTTGAGGCTTTACAAATGTAAAAGTTAGATTCATTGGTTATGCTTTGGTTACCCATTGGTTATCCATTTTCTAAATGGATAATATGGTTTTTATCCATATTTGACCTGTTTTAAAAAAAAAATCATTATCCAACTCATTTTTTAGTGAATAATATGGGTGATTAACTGTTTTCTTTTAACCATTTTGCAACCCTTACCTGATAGTAACTTCAAGAGGGGGAAAAAGGAATAACTAGAATATGGGTATGTATTCCTTGTAGATACATGTGACTAAACTAAACTAGTTATAGCAAGCCTGCAAAGAAAGAGTTTCAAGAACTAGGATTAAAACTGTTAGGGGTCATGTGGTTTAAACTAGGATATCATAGGATTATAATTACCTGGATAGTTACCTTTCAAATGGAATAAATAAGTTATACTAAAATCTCGGTATAAAATAATATTGGTTTTAATTAGTTAATACCTCCAATTAAACGCGGAAATTTTTAACCTCTAAATTTATGTCGAAATATCCCACCTAATCTCTTGAACCAAACGGCTCCTTAGCAGTTCTTTAATCGCCGTACTATTTCTTTTTCCATAACAAAACATGGAAATACCGATATTGACCCTCTTTTTTAAGTTTTACCTACCAATCTTTGCCTTAAGAGGTAGGAGTACATTTTAATGCAGGGTTCCTTGGGCCTATAATAGAAATTATTGGTAATTAGCTCTTCTAAAATGTGGAGTAATTGGCACCTTTCTAAAAAGCCAATGTTTTCTGTAGTTACACTCCATTCACTTTGTCTTTAAAATATCGCTTTTAATCTATTTATTTATTTATTATTTATAAAGTCATACAAAATAATTAATTTTGCGAGGATTAACGTTAGCAGTAACGATCTTTTTGTAAATTTTGATAATGACAGTGCTGACCAATTAATATCAAAGAAAATGATCTCATGTTCAAAATTTGAATAGCAGAAAAGATATCTCATATTTTATTTATAAATATCCTGTATTATTTTTTCCCGATCTCATGTGACAAGAATTATATAAGAAACAATATTTATAATGAATTACAAAATCAATTCTCCATCAATTTCACATGGCCTAAATCTGTCTCCCCTTCTGCATTTTTCATTAATCTGTTCTTGAGTAAGGTTCTTAGTAAAGTCCCATCCATAAACCCCCCAGTCTTCCCTGCATACCAGATAGCAAATTAACTCCGTCTCTTCGGGAGTTCTACAGTTTACCAATTTCTCAGGAAATAAAATTAAAATAAAAATACAAATTTGCAACACCACCATAATTTGCTTAAAACCCATTTTTTTTCGGGATATATATATCTCCTGCAAAATAATACATCTGTTAGTACCAATATAAATTCTTGGTAACCATATTCTGAAACATAAACTAATTGGCAGCATATTAGAAGGCATATGTTTTAAGTGTTAATTAACACACATAAAAAAGTAAAAATTATCTACTGGAATATGGGGGAGGCCTATTCGAGTAACTATACTTGTGAATTTAAAATTCACATGCCCAAATCCTTAAATGAATATTTCCACAAATTAAAGTATAGAAATACTTTCAAGAAATAAATAAAAAGTAAGTTAGCTTACGCAATTTACTAGTCAAGTTGTGTCTGCCAAACAATTTTGTTCTGATTGGTAATGCTTTATCAAGTTTATGTAAGACAAGAAATGGCTCATAAATAAGTCCTTAATATTGTAACGTAAGGTCCAAATTTGTTTACTTATTTTGGAGTTTCAGAAAAGGGCAAGAAACATTCATCGCATGCATGCGTTAATTAACCTACATTGAATGCTTTCTTCTATCAATTGATTATTACATGTGATGAAACTTTTATTTTGAACGATATAAAATTTTCAGTTAGCAATTTGTTTTTCTCAAGGGAAAAGAGGGGTTGCACGTACACACACACATTTAAAAAAAATAATAATAAAAATAATATATATATATATATATATATATATATATATATTTATTCGATCAAAAAAAGGGAAAACAAAAATATAACTTGCTCAATAAAAATACGTTGAAGTGGAAACAAAAACAACCTTACAATTTTGGAATAATATATAAATTTGGAATAACAATCATAACCAACATGGGCTAGTTGTATCTATATATAATCCTCACATAAAAATAGAAAAACCATCTGAAATAGCTAGTAGTACAACAAGAGCAACCCCTATTGGCAATATTTGCCACAAGGATAGGGGCAGTAAACCCCTTGGAATCCACTCCTACCAAAAAACCAGTCTCCGACAGCTTCAGCAATTGTCTGCATTACAATGATTTATTGTCAAATAACAAAACAAGGAAAATTGAAAATTATAGTAGTAATTTAAACAAAAAAAGAAAGGAAAATATGACCTTGTTAGCTATTGTTGGAGAGTTTTTGTCGGACCAATAGCTTTGTATTTCAATGCCGTTGTGGAAATGGCAAGAAGAAATGAAATAACCTCTTGATATACTTGGTCCTAATTCGTTCAATGCCTCTAAAATTGTTGACCTAAATTCTTGGAGAGTTTGGATTTGACTTGGTGAGCATTTATTTATATCTTTCTTGCATGTATCCCAAACATGTTGAGGGTCAACACTTTCAGGAACCAAACTGTTGTTTATCTAATTTTCAAGAATCAAAAGTGAAACCCTTTAATTTAAAATTGAATGGAAAACAAAATAAATTCAGAAACTTATTGGTTACTATCATATATAGATTCAAACCTGAAAAGAATCATAGGCCGAATTGATGATGAAAAGCGGTGTGCAAATATGTTGTGCTGCATACTGAGGGAAGAAGCACTGCCAAATCATTGGGTTGTATACTTATTAGTTAGAAAGATCATGTTGGTTTATTTTTTTACACAATAAATAAATAAATAAAATTGTTCCTACCAAACTTGGGTCTAAGCTCAAGAATGTGCAAGAGAGTGGTAGGTTCTTCGCAGATCCCTAAAGTACACCCCAAAAGAGAGTCAATAATGTTTTATAAAAAGCATTAATAAAGAATAATAAAAGAGAAACAATTTACTAAATGATGGTTCTTACATGCAAAGCAACAACTCTCTTGAAATACTCTTTAATGTGGGGCTCACCAGTTATAATTTTTCTGCAATACAATAATTTGTTAAAAAGAGAAACGCACTCTTGAAATTTTTCTCTGATTCATGAACGTACGCATTAATAAAGAAACCAGCATCAGAGATGCATTTCACTCTAGCAGTCAAGAAGAAAAAAAGTCTGAATTTATCACAATGTAGGATTGCACCCAACCCTCCTGCTGAAGTTCCACTAAGGATGGCCTATCAACAAAGTTTTAAAATTTTCTTATATTTTTTGCCATATAATTAGAGAGAATAATAGGACTATGTATGAGGGGGAAATGGGACGTACATTTTCAGCATATATCATCCCTTTATGATATAATAATTCCTCCATGATTGCTTTGAATATTCTTGCACCTCTGAAGTGGAGATTAGTAGCCTGAAAATTTTTTGGTACTTTAATTAGATAAATTACATCAATACAAATTCCAAAGTACTATAAGAAGATAGCCTAACTTACGGGGTCAACTTCTTCAATATCTCCGATATATGATGACCCATCACAATATCTCACCTTGATCCGATTCCAGTTGTAGAAATCTAAATATTTGTTGACTTAAAGAGTTATGAATACCGCAATATCATATAGAAGTAAAGAGTAAAAAAGAAATGGTAAATACATTATACATATAACTACCTGGGTTTAGTTGAGAATCGTTGCTTAGAACTCCCATAAAATAACTAATCTTAGATATATTTTTCGAAGTTCCATACTCATTAGTAGCACGATCTTGGCAGTCAGAAGTAGAGTCACACCACCCTCCGCCCTTAGAAATTCAAAGTTGAAGATGAGTAAATTTTTTTAACAAAAATACAAACAATAACCAAAATAGAAAAAATTTATTACTTGAAGTTGAATAAGCCAGTTATAAACCCCCGAGCCAGTTCCTGGATGAAAGTTGAATGCGGGAGCACTTCCATCTAAGCATACTATATAAAACAAACAACATTATCCAAATTAATATTAAAAAAAATTAAGACAATTTTTCCAGACTACATAAGTTAAGAAAATTGATAAATCTAAATGAGGGAGCTGTTCTAGTATAAAGAAACTCATCACCTGCTCCTTTTGCAATTGCACTCTCTAGGAACGTTGTATTAACAATGAGGCTCGCTTCAGTAGTTGTCCTCCAAATGTACAGTAAAGAAACTAAAACACAGATAATGTCAAACTGTTAGCAATAAATTAAAACACACTTTAAAAGGTGTCAATATACTTAAAATATATACGTTGAATTCCATTTATCTTTCGCGTAATAGCCATGTCCATTTGAAAGTTTTGGTAGGAAAAGTTTTTCATTCTTAAAATTTCTATGGAACTTTAATAACAAAAAAGAAAGGACTAAATTAATATATTATATATCAGTGGAAAAACTGGCATTTTTCAGCCAAATAGTGCGTAAAAAAAAACCAAGATTACCAAGCACCGCATATACGGCTGCCATCACTTGAAGAAACAGAAAAAAGAAGTTTCTCTCGGTGAATATTTGTTTTTCTCTCTCTCAATAGCAGAAGAAGTTGAACAATATATTAGAGCTTCAAAAGTTGTAATGAAGAAAAAAAAAACTGTTAATGCTTTTGAGCGTAAGATTTAGAGCGTTTTTTAGGCACTGTGATCATAACATCAACCAGTAAGTCTTTGTAATATAACTAAACATAGCAGCCAGCTTTTATTAAATGGCATCCTATATTAGGTTAGTCGCTGCATGTGAGTACAATTAATTAAATTGGTCCCCACATTCTTAATATTTGAACTGCTTATAAACGAAATATAGGGCAAATCTTCTTTAACTTGGTTACTAAAAATGTTTTTTTATATGTGACCCTTGCTTGCTAATTTTGAAGCAGAAAATTAAATTGGTCCCTTTATGTTTTGCATGTTAATTCTATATAGATAAAACTTCTAGCAGCATTTTGATCCCCCTTTTTCCCATAATAGAACGTAAAGCATGCAAATTAATACAGATATAATTTAATGGAGAGTTCCTTATAAGTTATATATAGGCTTATAATAGACAACGTTGGAGCAGATTTCTGGTATTGTGGGACAAATCGTCATAACTCGCTTGCTAAAAATATGTTTGCCTATGTGACCCCCTCTTTGTAATTTTGGAACAGATTTAAGCTTTGCATGGCAAAGAATTTTTTGGCCATGCATGTGACTCTTTGTTTCTCCCAACGTCGTTAGATTTGAGAAAGTAATAAAAATACTTAAAATAAGGTTTCCCTCAAAAGTATTATCTAACCCAATTTTACATAAATTTCAACATGTAAATTTAGTGAACAATATATATAATTTATGAATATCAGATTATTATAAAAGCATAATGAATATCTTGAAATCTGTTATTGTCTTAATGATCTTGATTAATTGACTATGATTTTGATGTGTCGGCATTAATGTCGTTTTGTCACATCCCAAATTACCCCTTAGACGCGACTGGCACCCAGCTAACACCACCTGCTAGGCGAACCCCTTTCTCTAACGTTTAACCATTTACACAAACACTAAGAGAAAAAGTGCAGGCCTAAATGTATTATTAATAATTAAAGAGGGAATGATTATCGCACAATACCTTAGTCAATTGATAGAAAACCAACAATCACTCAAATAATAAAACTCTAGCACAAACCCCACACTAAGACTATGGAGCATCTAACAGAGTAATATGAGTTTTATTGACGGGTATGCAAACCCCCAAAAAAAGGAAATAACTAACACGAACTAAGTAAGTCTAAAACGAAAGCCTCCAAGAACAATGCGGTGGCTCACCTCAGCAATAGGATCCAGTCGAACAAACTCGCCAGCCACTAACTCTATTCCCGCAACGGTATCTGCATAGAGATGCAGTTAAGGAGTGAGTTATACGTAAATATAACCCAGTAAGATCCTCGACCTGCCACTTTAAATACCTCTGGAACAAGTGTTAGAAAATACAAACATACTACAACACGAATGATATAGTAAATATGATAATTATACAATAACTCAATATATGTGTATCAACAGAGTTATTAAGAATTAACCAACAAGGATACCCACTAAGGACTTATCATAATTGCAGCGAAAGAAATTTACCAACACACATACGAGTCAACAACGGCACCACAATGCCTCAAATATGTAACAGAGCATACACAATGCTCACTGAAGCATGCACAAAGCCCCAAATATATCAAGAAGCATACACAATGCTCGAGTGATGTACAAAGCATACAAAATGTCCCAACATCATGGCGCACAACCGTATCAAACTCAACATCATGGCGCACAGCCGTATCAAACTCAACATCGTGGCGCACAGCCATATCAAACTCAATATCATGGCGCACAGCCGTATCAAATTCAACATCATGGCGCACAGCCGTATCAAACTCAATATCATGGCGCACAGCCGTATCAAACTCAACATCATGGCGCATATCCGTATTAAACTTAACACCATGGCTCACAGCCGAATCAAACTATAAAACTCAACATCATGGCGCACAGCCATATGAAACTATCAAACAACACTTGAAAAACTGTGTTGAAAGTATCTTTGGCAAACGATTTTTTTAAACGGATGGTCCATTATCTAGTCACTTTTGGCTACANTAATGTAAAATGGTGGTTAGCTACTGGCATTCTTGTTGGCCATGCTCCCGCTTCGGACTTTGCTCTGACTTGCTTCTTCGGACTTGCTTTGACTTGTCACGATTCCCCAATTGACTTTCAACCCTATGATCTTGCTGACCCACATGCTTTACCTCGTATTACTGTTTGGTGTTTCTGTTCCCTTCTTGTGAACCTTGCTTCTCCCTCACAATCATCTGATTATTCCACTGATTTTCATTGGTCTTCCATATGTTACTCTCTTTTGACATGTCCCCACTTTGTTGTGCCATCTAATCGGGAAGCGGGTAATTAGCTTTGACATCCTTCTTTTGTTTTTGAATAGTACTAAAGCATCTTATAGACAGACTTCAAGAGAATGAAATGCAATGACCTCGAAGGTAGAAAAACTCTGAAGACAAATGAGTTGTAATGAAGAGAAAAGGATAGGACTTATCTGAGTGGAAAGGCTGATTCCGTTGATCATGCCATGCATTTTGGTTCCAGCCTAGTCTGTCCAACCACTCAATTATCAGTTACCACATTTGTTATCTCATACTTTCACGCCCGACTCTCACCGAACTCAAACCTTGCTTGTTTTGCCATGTTTCAAACGACCTTCAACCACAGGCTTCTTTCATTTGCCCAACTGAAAGATCTCACTTTCGCCTTACAGTGCCCGTGAGGGTTTTCACCAATAAGGCTCTCTCATTTTACTATCTCTCAAACTTACCTCGCCTTACGGTGCCCGTGAGGGTTTTTACCAATAAGACTCTCTCATTTTCATTTCCCTCAACTTACGTCGCCCTATGGTGTCCGTGAGGGTTTTCACCAATAAGACTCTCTCATTTTGTCCTTTTCCTTCTGTCACCAGAGTGTTGTCTCCATCATGAGTCGCTTTACCTAACCGTATTGACATTTTTTGAAATTGATCAGAAGGTCTTTCTTTGGACCGTAATGTGGCTTTGGGACGGGTTTTAGAAAGAAGGGTATAAAGGTTCAAAATAATTCAAATGTGGGTTCAACATTACAGCTTTCGGAATCATATCCTTTGCGACAACCATAACTTCTACCCCAGTTNATCAAACTCAACATCATGGCGCACAGCCGTATCAAACTCAACATCGTGGCGCACAGCCATATCAAACTCAATATCATGGCGCACAGCCGTATCAAATTCAACATCATGGCGCACAGCCGTATCAAACTCAATATCATGGCGCACAGCCGTATCAAACTCAACATCATGGCGCATATCCGTATTAAACTTAACACCATGGCTCACAGCCGAATCAAACTATAAAACTCAACATCATGGCGCACAGCCATATGAAACTATCAAACAACACTTGAAAAATGTTGTTGAAAGTATCTTTGGCAACATTTTTTAAGGAGTGGCCATTATCTAGCACTTTTGGCTACAGGTTTTAGGCAACGCTTAAAAAGTGTTCCTTTTAGTTGTATAGACTACGCTTTTCAACTGATGCCAAATCATAAAATAATTAACAACACTTATTCACATGTAATGCAACACTTTTAGGCGTGCTTGTTTATATTAATAAAAGCAACTCTCTATAAGCGTGGTATAAAGTCCCCTAAAAATTCCCGCTCAGATTTTTCCCAAAAATTTGGCCGAATTATTATTCCCTAAAATATCCTGCTCTCTCCAAGTTTTACCCACTCTACAATAGAATCACATCCTTCCTCTTCTCTAAAATTTGGCTTGTAACTAGGAAGCAAATTAGTGTGGGTTTTATGGAAATCTCTGATGGAGGTGCTACATCTCTTCTAATTTCTCTTCTAAAAAATCAAAGCTCTCTTTTCGTTTGGGTTCTGCGGCCATCAGTTGCAATTGGAGATTTTGATTTTTGGGCTTTGATAGTAGGCTATAATTATGTAGTTTAGCTACCATTTACGCTCCAACTTAGCTATACTTTATTGATATATGAATGTTAAATGATAACAAATTGCTCTAATTAAGAACTTTGTGCTTTGTAGGAGCAATTCCTGGCTATGAGGACATTAAAGAGTGTTTTGGAGTTACTCTGGAGCAAGGAAGGCCAATCGGAGGTGAGCTCGCGCAAAAGAAGAAAGAAAATTGAAGGCAGAAATATTCTCCAGGTGCGCGGCGCAACCGCGGCCGCGCTCATCAGGCAGAACCAAAGATAATATGTGCAGCCCATCCACGGCCGCGCACGTCCCTCCGAGAATTTTTATTTCGGGGGTAAAATTTTAAGTTCAGAGGCGACTCTCCTTGACCTATGAGAAGCCCAGCTCGCCCAAAAAGAGGGCATCGAGGTTTTCGAAGGCAAGAACAGGCAAGAAGCAAGGCGGAAGATTCGGCATAGAGTTTTTACCTTTCTTCCTCTTGTTTTTATCATTGATGATGAATTCTATTGTTATGATTGTGAAAACGATTATGCATAGTTAAACTCCTAATCTAGGGTTTTGATGGAACCTATTGGAGGATGATTTTCTTGTTATGTTAAAATAGATTTGCCATAGTATTTTCTCTATTTGTTCAATTATACTGTGATTGCTGTTGATTGAAGGGCCTTCAATCGACTGTGCCTATTTAGTATGTATTACTCGGGAGAGAGTGCATATTTAGGTAGTTGTTGAACAACACCACTCCTAACGTATATGAGGGATCAGTACGAAGGGTTTAAAGGTGGGATTAGGGATAACGAAACCTTGGGTGCGATTTAAGTGAGCTGTAATTAAGGCTAGCTAGCGTAATTCGGGAAAATATGTCTAGTATATTGTTGTAATTACTCGGAAGAGAGTTACGACAGTCACAGTGCCCATGATCGATAGAGAAGACTTAGGCAAATTTATAGCAAACATAGCGGAAAAGATTCCGACAATAGGGGAAATCAAAACCTTAGATCATTCCAATTCTTGTTTACAACCCATTCATAGTTGGCTCTTAATTATTGCATTGTCATTACATAATATTTAGTTAGTAAACGTCCAATCTATTACTTAAATATCT